CTTTAAGAAGGTTAATATTTTGCTAAATAAACTTATTCTATTATTATCCTTTCTCTCTCTATTTAATTTTTATTCCTCTCTTTTTTCAATATATTAAATGAATGGTGGTTTTAAAAGTTTTATATCTTTATTTTTTAAAAAAAGGCTGTTAAATATATTTATTAATGAGATTTATTGAAATGTGAAATTTTATTCAAAATGAGACGGAGGGAGCTATGACATCTTTGCTATATATAGTGGTACAAACTAAATGCATCCAAATTCACCAAAAAAAAAATGCATCCAAAGGAAACTGTTTTTATTCCCATTGGAATTTTTGATTATTTTCAAGATACAGATGCATCACTAGTGGGTGCGAGTTGAAATTAAAGGCCTTGGAAGTTGGATGTTGATGATCAGGTGAAATTGGATTAAGATAAGTGGAGAGGGATAAGGGCTAGTAGAAGAAAGGACTAAGCTCACTTTATATATATATATATATATATATATGTATATATTAGACATGAAATGTGATATAAAAACTTCATATCCATGCTTTTTTAATATCAGCATGAAATTATTCAATTTAATATATATTTTTTAATTCAATGAAAGCATGTTATTTATGAGTTTATATTTTACAAATTTTATAATTAACCTTATGTTATTAATATATAGACCTTATCATATTATTTATAAATATTCTACTATAAATTCCACTAAAGCTATTAATACATTTTAGTTTACTAAACCACAGGAATAATATATACTTTGTGTTGTTGTTAATATTTAAACCTTTTTATATTATTTACAAATGTTCTGTTATAAATTCTATCTTGGCCAACTTGTACATATCCTTAAAAATTTTAAACCACATAGATATAATATATAGATAGACTTTGTATTGTTAATCTATAAACCTTATTATGTTACTTTTGTATGTTATCTCATAAATTCAAGCTGGATAACTGTACATACTGTTGAAAATAATTTAACCATCACATTACAACAAATGTTTTTTTCAATATACACCACAATGTTTGCCTCCATCCATTACCAAAAAAAAAAAATCCATATAAAAAAAAACCTTAAAATAGCACAGACACAATCCCATCGTTTTTGTTTTCCTTTGGCTGTTGCTATAAAGCTCCTCTTCTTATTAATCATCTTATTTCAAATTCAGCTAATGTATCATTTGAGTCTATCAATTTCTTGTATAGTCCTCTATTCTTCTCCATGAATACTTTCATAAAACTCATGCCATCTTGTAAAAGTAGATTTTTTTTCGGTTGTTTCTCATTAACCATTTTATTCACCTACAAATTAGCAATACAGTCAACGTAGATAACTATTAAATCACATAAAGTAATTACTTAGATTTTGCCATCTGCAAGTTACACATGAACAACAAAAAGTTCATATATTTGACAAGTGTAAGTTCAAATATTTTACAAGTAAAAATCCATATATTTTGAAATGACAATGACACTAGAGGTAACCCCTATACTGCATCAATCATGAATTAACTTGATTCTCATCACCTCTATACAACCAACAAATTAATCAATTAAAATTCACTTACACCAACTCCATTTTTAGAATTTACAATTGAACATCCAATTTGAACATGATAATAACATAAATTTTTCAGCACAGGATCTAGTTCTTCTCAGTGGAGGACATTCACTTCCAACATATTGGAAACTAAAATTTACATTGACATAGTCCTCTTTTCTGTCAACTAATAATTATATTAATTCATTCAAATTTTCCTTTTACACAATCCCCATTTCCTATAAACTATTATATAAGGACTTCATGAATAACAGTTCAACATCCTATATCAACAAAAATAATATTCATATTTTCACAACAAATAATCCAATTTTTTTTAGAATGGCTTTCGCTTCCAATGTTTCCAAACAAAAATTTTATCAGTTCATCAATTTACAAATTACAACCACAGTCCGAAGTTTCTACAACTTTACATTATAGTTTGCACATCCCAAACTCCATTTGGACACTGTTCCTAAAGGACACCCTCCTCTAATTATGTCTCTATTTACAAATTTAAACACGAAACAAGGCAGGGATCCACAACTTAGAACTCCAAAACATGTTCCTGAGTTGTATCAGCAAGTTCTTGGACACGACTATGGTATGGGTAACTATCTTGGTCAAAGTCCACATACAAAAACCCAACATTTATTTTTCACAACTAAACATTTAACATAAACAAGACATTGTTCATGTTTTCACAAAACATAATCCAAGTATCTACTAGAGTATTTTCATGATAATGGACAGGTGATGAATTTTCCAATTCATATGTGAACATTCCAATATAAACAAGTAAACCATCATGAGTTTATTACAAATAATTCACTCCTAAACATCCACTACCAACTTAGAGTTCAGCATATGAAAACAAGAGATCCTCCATGGTGAATAATAAATAATTCATCATATAAAAAATTAACATAATGCGAGAAATTCAAAATTAATTTTTCTCCCCTCATCAAGAGTACAGCAAACTCTAGAGATTCCATCACCTTACCTTTGAAATGAACTAAGATGCCTCATATTGAAGTGGACAAGTGGAATTTAGGGTTTTAGTTTTAGAGAACGAGAGATAGACCCCCTTTCAGCACCATAAAAAAAACACATCCAATCACAATCCCAACAGTCGCCCCCCAGAAAGCTTCAAAGACAATGATTCTGGCTGAAGAGAGAGAAGGAAGAGTAAGGAAGAGAGAAGGAGAGGAAGAGGAAGTGAAGAGAGAAGAAGAGTGAGGAAGAAGAAAGTGTCGACAGATCAGTTGATTTTGGGAGGGACAAATGGGTCATTTCACTCAGAAACATAATTGCAAATGAGACCTTTGAGTCTGTAGAGTAATATCAGATTTTATTGGGCTTTATCTACAATTTTTTTTATTTTCAGGGCCCTAAATGCATTTGCCTTGAAAATAAAAATAATATTCTAAACATGCAATTTTGGGAAAATATTTTTTTTAAAAAAAATGCAAGTTAAAAATTTTAAATATGGACTGTTCACAATAAATCTGCATAGTCAATTTATAAAAATTAGTAAAAAAAGTTAATATTAAATTTGAGCCATTCATGTTAAATCAAGATTGTCTAGATTGGTGATATTACACATTTGTATATTTTTTTTTAGTAATTTTTATACAATTTTTTATTTTAATAAATATAAAATTGAAATAAAATTAAAAATTTTAAACCTGGACCATCCAAATCTTATCAAGTGAGGAGGAGGGTCAATGGAGGGATTGACAAGTGGAGAAAAACTGAGTCTATAAAATTAAGGTACTAAAGTAAAACTTTACATAAAATTAGAGGACTAAAAGTACAATTAAATCTTATAAAAATTATAAGGCTAAACCGTAGTAATAAGAGATAAGTGTCACCTGTAACACAACGTACATAATAATAGACTGAAGTCACATGGCATTACACTGATTCTTCTCCTGAAGAAGGGTTTCTACGTCTTTTCCTAGAATAGACTAACAAAGGTCGTTGGTTCTATCACAGTATGAGGCACAAGTGCAAGAAAATAAGAGGTAGCTAACCTTTACATTTCGTTTCCATGACCAAATAGAAGAAAAATAATGCAAATCTGCTCAAAGTTATGGTAGACCTAATTTAATACTTACTATTAAATTAGCGCAATGCAAGGGGGGAAACCAACAAGTTAAACTGCTCTAGTCATCGCTCCACCACTTTAGTACTCTGCTTCATAGCTAACAAATAGTACCTCTCAATGCTGTTTGTTTGAGCGGTCAAGCTTAATCCCACTTGATCAAGCAGATAAGTGAAGATATACATCGACTTGTTCTTGTTATTTGAGTATATTTGGCAAGGGATAAGAAATATTAACTGAAAATTCAAACACAATTGTCAGAACAAATTGTGATTTCAGGGAACCAAAGGAAATTCATTTGAGTGAGGCGGCCGTCATTTAAGCAACAACAACACTTACAATAGTATTTCAGGAGGTGACAAGTATCTTGGTGCAGCTTTTTCTGGGATTTTGCCATGTGAACTCACATTGGCCCATGCAAAATACATTTGTAATTAACACCATGTTTCACAACTATGTTAGGAGTTAGAACATGACTGGTATGAACATTTTCCGAGCATATAATGATTAGCTGAAAAAAGACAGTAATATTAGCTGAAAAAGGTACAAGGACTCAACACATGATGTGCATCATAAAGAGATGAAAACGACTCTCCCAATTGCACATAATTAATCAACACCCCCCACCACATTTGATCATATGAAACTGAGTTCATAAAAAATATACTTACACCAACTTATTAGTGTTAAAAGTACAAGAGAATTGAATTATTGAAGTTTCATATTTATCAAGATTGAAAGCATTATCAGCTGTTTTTTTCAGTCCCAAGTCAAAAGATCACAGGTTCATTGGTTGCACATGGATGTCACTGAAGGTATGAGCATTTTACTTCAAAACAGAACAAATATTTAATTTGGAAAATATCCATCACTTTTAATTTACACATTTATTCACCATCCCTATAATTTTTTGCTACACAATGCATATATACTAGACAAAGTAAAGTTTAATAAATAGATGAAATTTTAACGAGAGAGAAATATAAATACCCGAAAAAGAAGCATAGATAATTTACATCTCACGAATGCTATCCTTCATGCATTCCAAATTCAATCGAGAGAGTGAAAATAGCAAGTCATCAAAATCATGAGATGTCTTAAACTTAGAACTCAGGGGAATAGGTTGAAGGATTGAAGACGTCTTCCATTTCTTTGTGGGATAGGGTTGCTGTTGCTCATCATCAGTACTCCGATGCCTCTTTTTGCCTGTAATTAACTGCACCTTCAATTCCTTTTGTTGAAGGAACTCCCTGTATTCTGAGGCATATATTGGACGAACTCCACATTCTTTGATCAAGCAATTACCAAACTTAATTCAAATGTGACCTTCGATTCATAGTTACCATATTTTCTCGGCCTATTATGCTTTGGATATTCTCTAGTATAAGTTCACAATAGAGGGGGTCATACCAGAGGAAAACATTATTTGAATTCAATTCGATCATTGAGTAATGCCATCCTCTTGGGCCTTCTTGATAGATGCTATTTTCATCGTAGTATCCACACGACGAGTGATTGTGATCCCTCTCTTTCAAGGAGAACTGAGGAATAAAAAAGCAGAAAATGAAACCCAATAAGCCATCTAAACTAGGATTAAGCTGAACAAAGACAGAAGACTCCTTCGTCGAGCTTTTTGCACGCAAACCATTCTGGAATAATGCTTCTTTCAGAATTTTCACATTTTCCTCGCTTCAGCGAGAAACTAGCATATTCCAGTATTCCACGAAATGAATGCTCCTCAATATCATCAAAAGCATTTTCTTCCTTCATGCTCAACTCTAATTCCATCTGTTGAAGGAAGTTGTGATAATCTGGGGCATATATTGGGCAGACTCCACATGCTTCAATGATCAATCCATCATATTTTGTTTCCTTCATAAAACTGTATTTCAGAAAATCATCACTATCATATGCAACAACATAAAATTCAAATGAAAGCTTTGGCTTGCAGTTGGTGTCTGGATATTTTTGTGATTATGTTTTCACGAGTGTTCCATAGAAAAACATGATGTGAATTAACATTCGGTATAACAAAACTCAAACTTGTGCCACATTGATCACCATCTTCATCATAAATTTGGCATTTCAAGCGGTAAGAACAGCTTTCCTTTGGAGTGAATTGCGGAAGAACAGAGCAGAAAATGAAGCCTTGCAAGTTGTTCATGGTTGAAGAAAGCTCGATAGTTATGAAGTTGGAAACCTCGATTGTCTTATATTTAAAACAATCTGGAACTTCTCTCCCTGGGTAGCAAACATCAACCATTTGATTTGTATGCACCCCACGCTTCAAACAGAAATTAGAAAAGGCCATGATATGTGAAAGTGAATGGTTCTCTGCGTTGCAACCTGAAAGAATAAGTCTTCTTAGATTTCTGAGATAACTGATTGAGGAATAGGGTGTTAATATTTGCTGTGGCAACAATGGAAATTCCGTACTAGAAGTGAGTATCAATGTCCTTAATGATGTGCAGTTGGTGGAATCTAACTCTTTGATGGATGGTGGAAGCTCGGGTAAAGATAGAGGGCCCTTGCAATTCTCCAGGGAAAGAAATTCTAGTCTTGATAGATGCTTGATATTGTTGGGGAGTTCATTTAAGGTGCAACTCCCATCCAAATGAACACTTATCAGAGATCGCAAAGCATCAAACAAGATATGTAACTTCGATTCATCAATTGCCTCTCCGCAATCATAAAGAGAAAGATCCTTGAGAGACCTCAATCCATAAAACTCACTTACTGGAATATTCTTTAGTCTTGAGCAATTGAGAGAGAGACTGGTAAGTTTCCCGAGATGCCCAATTGATGAGCCTAATAACTCAATGCCTGTTCTATCTAAGTGTAAAACTCTCATGCTCTCTGATGATAGTGAAAATTCCCTGAAATAGCAATTACCAACATTGAGGCTCTCTAGAGATTTCAAATGACTCTCACCTTGTAAATCCTTCAGGTTTATGCAATTCTCAAGCGCCAAAGACTTCAGTCTCTTGAGAGATAAAATAGATGGATGAAGATGGTATAAACTTTCACATGAAGTGAGATTCACCCATTCAAGATTTTGTGCCCTGGAGAAATCAGGCAGCTCTACCAATTGTTTAGATCCGCCAAGGTCTAATCCCCTTAGATTTACCATATCCTGAATATCAATTGAAAAGAGAAACATTACTTGGGAAACGAAATGGTCGTGAACTTCAGCTGAAGTGAAAAATTTAAACGCATTTGAATACCATACCTGCATTCCATCCCACAATTTTTTAAGCCGACTGCCATTCAAACTAAGTTCAACAAGCTTCTCTGCAGAAAAAGATGGTGGTAGAGCCTCAGAAGGAAAATTGTCCCAGTGAAGATATCGTAATGCATTGGAAAATGACTCTAGACTTGAGGGAGCATTCACACATGCTCTCCTATCTGGATTAGATGAATAGAATTTGAGAAATCTCAAATGAGTCATCTTTTCAAAGGTGTGAGAAGGTAAGCATATATCTCCAATTTGAGACAAATCAAAACTTATGCCTTCAATTGCATCAGTTACCTGCATTCCACAAAAATTCAAATAAAAGTAAGTAAACATCATCATATATTAGCAATTGTATGTCTTAACTTGTAGACCTGTCTTGTGTGAAAGTCAATTTCTTCTTTTTCTTACCCGATTATTTTTCAATACATCATAGATTTCATCAGGATTCCACAGTCGACTTCGTCTTCCAGGATCTTTAATACACTCTTGACGAACAATTTCCCGACCCATTTGTTGTATTAAATCATGCATCTCCACATAATAATAAGGAATACGTACGAGAGCCTTATCTACAAGGGTCCTCAAGCCAATTCTTGCATGGTAGCCATAGCTGTCTAAAAGAGCTACGACTTGATCTACACTTTTACCTTTTAGAAAGCAAGCAATTTCTAAAAGCATTTCTCTTTCTTCATGGTCTAGTCCATCATAGCTCAATTTTAACAATGCATGAATATCTTCATGGGTAGTCTTCTCTAATTTTGCCAATGCGCTTTCCCATTCCTCTGCAGTTTTGGAATGCAGATATGAACCCAAGGTGATCAAAGCTAAAGGATTACCTTTGGCATAAGAAACAGCTCTCTCGGATAGTTCTTCATATTCACTGTCATAATTATCATTGTGAAAGGCTTTGAGGTTGAAAAGGTTAACCGATTTATCAGAGCTCAATGGCTTAGCTTCGTATATTTCATTAACTCTTCCAAGAAGCAAATGTTTATCTCTTGTCGTTATGATGACCTTGCTGCCAAGTCTCAAGGAATGACATTCTTTGGCCAAATATTCTAACTGATTTGCACTATTGACATCATCAAGCACAATAAGAACCTTTTTACAACCAAGTCTTCTCATGGCAAATGTGAACCCAACCATGGACTCTTCTTCCTTCAGTAGTTCTTTGAGAAGTTTATCACGTATATACTTTAGTCCATATTTTTCTGATTCTTCTCTTAGATTTTCAAAAAAACAGCAGCTTTCAAATTGGGAGGAGAGATTGCTGAATACAACTTTGGCCATAGTTGTTTTACCTATACCGCCCATGCCCCAAATTCCAACTATTGAGACATGTTCCAATAACGATTTAATACAATCAACATTCTCCTCAATTCCAACAAGACCATGTGATGTACTTATTGGATACATGCGGTTCAGTCTGTCCAAAATGTCATTGACAATATTACGAATCAGTTGTGATTCGTCCCTGAAACATAAAATAGCATAAAAAGCGTATTAACACAGAAAAGAAGAAGAAGAAGAAGAAGAAATCAGTACATAAACGGTTTATTTATTGAATAAAGTAATAAGTAAAATTGATCATGTTATTTTATTAGATCAAAGTACATAAATTGATTTTAAATTTTATTACATCTACATCATCTTTTTTTCTATTTTCAAAATAAACTGATTGGTATTTTGCAAATCATACAAAATATCATAAATTTTGTTGAAATTACATTGTCCTTCCCCCCTAAACAGTAGAAATATATAGCTTCGGTCAATAGTAGAAACTAATTAATTTTTCTTGAAATATAGATGGAGGATATATAGTGGCAAGGTTTTCTTTATAAGATATAAATCAAACTTCTTATAACTTACTTAAGAGATAAAAGTTACTTCCTCTGTTAAATATTAAAAAACATTTTTAATCAAATTATGCTTTCACGTGAGTTAGTTAATCGTCTCTCTTTTTACGTTTATTTCTATTTAATAAGGTGTCTCAATTAAAAAAACTTTATTAATTAGTACACCCTTAATAAAGGATATTTTTGATAAAATATCATTAATCGCAAGTGCCTTATATTTCTTAATATTATATATACATCAGGAAAAATACCCTATATTTTTTTAAGGGACAGAGTAGCATTTATCACTCATATCAAATTAAGCTGGTTCATTTTTTACATAATCATCTTCTTTATTTTCAAAACACATACACACAAAATTCTCATGAAAAGAATTGAAGAAAATGTGCGCAATTTCAAATGAAACACAAAAACATGCTATCCATACTCCAAATTATTTTTTTTTAAAGGTTGAATAACTACATTAATTGAAGTTAGAGCTGCATCGAGATGAATGATTGAAATGAGCAAGTATCGAGATGGCCATATATATATATATAGGAGTTGATCTCAAAGAAACTCTAGTCAGCAAGATAAATCAAAATTAAGAATAAATAAAGTATGAAGTCAAGCTAATTGCAAGGCCAAAAATACGTTTGAAAGAGTACTGAAGACAGCTAACCTACAGATCCGAGAGTCCCAGCCAGCAGAGCTTGCAGTTTCAAAAGGAGCACGTTTCCACTTGTTCACCTTCTCTGATGGGTTTTGCGTAGAATGTTTTGCAAATGCCTCCTGATAAGTTCCCGTTTGATTGCGAACATGAGATGGGTCTACTTGGTAGAAAATAGGAATAACAAGCTGTCCTTGGATCTCTTTACACTCAAGTATCTTCACGAGTTCATTCAAACACCATTTTGAGGAAGCATAGTTTTCAGAGAAGATAACCAAAGATATGCTTGAGTCTTCAATCGCTCGGATGAGTGCTTGGGAAATGTCATCGCCTTTTGGGAGCTCATAATCGATGTATGTTCGAATTCCTCTTTGGCATAGGGCTGTGTGGAGATGGCTGGTGAAGGTTTTACGAGTGTCCTCACCTCTGAAACTCAGAAACACATCGTATTTCTTGGGAAAAAATGCACAAGAAGAGGAGGATGAAGCTGCAGCACCCATGATTTCTCTTCTTCGTCGTTGCGAAAGTAAAGTGATAATGGAGTACTGTTAACAGCGGATGGACTTAACTTTCTATCAGGTCTTCAAAGCCAAATGGACGTACAGCGAGAGAGAACTTTGGAACAGTTTTTCCCCCTTTATACGGAAAAAGTAGCGTTCACTCCCGAGTCCCGACCATTTATTTACACGTACTGCTTTTGAAGTATTATTTTTTAAGAGTTGTTTCACAATATTAAAAAAAAAGAAAGAAAGAAAGAAACATAAATTTTATGAAATCGATATTATAGTAAAATTAACATATACAAAAATATTAAGATATGTTGCTTGATTAATTTTTTTTTACCTCATCTTATATTCTTACACTAAAGGTGGGTACGTTGTACGTAGTTTAAGATGAGTTAAATTTTTTCAAGTACTTGCTGGTTTACACGCACATACATTGATGTTGATTTCAGTTAAAATAAATCTTATTGTATGGTTTTAAGGTATGATTTTATATCGTTAATTTGTACGTGTTAAATGTCATTAATTAGATCTTCAATAAAATTAGTTATAATTATAAGTGAAGAAATTATTTTGAAGGTTGAGTAGTTTGTTGAATGTGGTGTCACATTCTTTTTAAGAGGCACTCAAATCCCTCATTCTATCTTTTACTTAATAAGATTATAATGCCCTCAATTGAAATGAGATTGTATGGGAAACTCTGTTACAGAGTTTTCATTTAATGAGATTCATGACGTTATATATATATATATATATTCTTTGTTCACCTTTCTCTGACACGTTTTCTTCACCTTTCTCTTTACATGTTGAATCGAGTGATGTAGAGTAGTAGTTTATAAATAAAAATTATCCTTTTAACTATACATAGGGGAAAGTGTGGCTATCAATACATAAAATGAAACAACAACGTTGGTCTCGAAGTAACCAAATTGAATGAATACACGATAATATGACCAATAACTACTACGTAGTTAGATTCATCGACCACCTACAATAAAGGCTATGGGTTATCTGAGGACATCATTTGGCAATCCAACAACGGAGCCCTAGCTTCAACCCATCTAGTGATACTCTAAAAAATATATTTGATCTATCCGTAGCCTCAGGTAATTTTTTTTAAATTGAAGCACAAAAAATTTGAACATGTTTTTTGACCAACATAAAAAAATGAACATGAAGTCATCATGAAATCGTTTCATCATCAATTGTTTGAATAAGAAATACAAAAATTAACACATCAAATGAAAATGAATTAATAAATAACTGATTTATCAAACAAAGTTACAACAAATAAATTATTACTCCCTACATCCCAAATTATAAGACACTTTTAAATGAGTTTTTCTGTTCCAAAATTTAAGGCATGTTGAATAGATTAAGATTTCATTAAATATACTAATGACCATATTACTCTTTCTCTCTCTATAATTAATTTTTGTCTCTTCTTTTTTCAATATATTAAATGATGAAAATTTTTGAAAGTTTATATTTTTATTTGAAAAAGATAAGATTGTTAAGTATATTTAATAAGGTTATTGGTATGTGAAATTTTATCTAAAAGTGTCTTATAATTTAGGACTGTAACATTCAAAAATTTTTAACCCTGATTTATTAACCTGATGAGGGTAATTAGTGAGTTAATAAGGTGTATGGCCAAAGGGGCTTAACTTAGCATAATTGTTATGGTTTCAACCTTAAAAGTAGGTCTGGATCGAGGGCGAGCCACCTGGGCAAGGAAAGAAGAAGAAAAAGTGAAGAATAGTTTTTTGTGCCACACGCCGCGGTGCGTAGTTGGTCCACCACAGCACACAAAGATAATTTAAACATAATGGGCTCCTTTGTGCCATGCACCGTAGCACACGGTTAAAAATAAGATATATCTGATTCATTTTTGCACGAAAAGAACAAAAGAAGAAGAGAAAGAAAATGAAGAGCTCATTTTGGCTCTGTTAGGGCACGATTTTTGGTTTCATTATTGATAAATTGAAGCTCCCAAACACCTAAAGTAAAATTATGGTCCCTTCTTCTTCCTTTCTCTCCCTCATTTGTAATGATTTGTGATAGGGTTTGAGTTGGGAGGTGGATTTTCACTCCATAAGAGTATGGGTCTGATTTCATTAGTTAACATAAGTTAAATGAGAGTTGTTTAATGTATTGGAACACCACAATGATAATTTTGAAAGTAGTTGATCCATTGGAGCATTTAATATCTAAAAATTAATATTTATAAGGTAGTTGGGAGAGGTTAATGTGCATTAATGATAGGTTAAAGTATTATTAATGATAATGTGCATTTATGAAATTTAATGAGCCCATTAGGTGTGAGTGGGTAGTGATTATGAGATGAAAACGTAGTGTTTGTGGAGTTTTATGTTAATAAAGTTTTAAGAGCTAGATAATGATGACATCCTTGTGATATGGATGTAGAGAGTTTTGTTTTGGTACCACTCAAGCTTGTTGGAGCTTTAGGAAGTTGGTATAGTGAGGGGTAAACTTTTAACCTCTCAAAGGTTTAAGGTAATCAGGAGAAACTTAATCTTTAAATTTAAATGTTAATTGTGTTTGTAAAATGTTATTTATGAGTTAAATTGATGATACATATTGGCAAAGTGCTTGATTTGTGAAATAGTTTTTGGAAAAGAAAACCTTGATTCTACCACCCTCGATGTTTTGCAAAATTAATTGTGATTTATTACTATGGGTGGAGAATTGTATTATATTATGTGTTAAATTGTGGAGTATTAAGTTATGTGAATTCATGTGTTATGAATAATTTGTCAAAATGCATATTACATGTGCATAGCATGATCATTGGCGGGAGTTCGCCTAGGAAGAGAAGTAGATTGGTTAAAATCCAAACTATCCCACTTGTTCTACGAGGGACTCAAACCTAACTAGTCAATTCATGAGGAAGCTAAATTAGGGGTAAAACACCCCATGGTTATTAGTATTGGGAGAAACCAAATTACATAAGTGAGTGAGTTTACCCTGGCCCGATAGCTTCTCACAAGTGGAAAGCTGGGTTAGCCCATGAAGAATATAGCCACGAGATAGCCACCATTTTCGTGTCGGGAGTAATAAGAGGATATAAGGTTGGCATATGATCGTGCATATAAGCCCGGCCACATAGTTGTTAGTTTTATGGTTCGGCATGTGTTAAGGGCACATGATTATTATTTTTGCGACCTTGTGTTATATTCTTGCAAAATAATATGACATAGTGTTCCATGACAAGCTCGGTCACATGGTTGTTAGTTTTGTAAACCGTGGCCTAGTATTATGTGAAATATGTGCTTGTTTGTCAAAATTGCATCTATTTACAATTAATATGTAACTGTATGGGTTAAGTGAAACTTGGTTATTGAGTGGTTGTACTTACCCCTCAATTCTCAATATTTACAGGACCTAGCTCATTCGATCTGAGTCAGGGAAAACATACAGAGGCTTAGGATTGGTGGAGTAATCCTCTATATGCCTCTCTTTTGCTACTTACATGTGTATTTGTTAATGTAATTGCCAACTATGAGTAATTGATATGATTTATGCACTACTTGCATGATTTTGTGTATAACTAGTGTATTTTATGTCCTGGATTAGTGAGTTTTAGTTGTGAACCCGTGGATAGGGTCAAAATACTTGTGCAAGTAGGAACATATGTATTTTTAAGAAATTTGAAATAAAACGGTTGACTTTGTGCAATATGTAATGTCCGCCTTGACATTACCAGGACAATACTCATACATCATTGTGATAACTCGGATTAAATAAAATCCTCAACAAAAGTTATCACAATTCAAGAGTTTAAAGATAATTAGTTAAAACATTGGGATCTCAAGAAAACCCTTTTTAATATATTGTTTGAGTTTAAACCATGATTAAAAAAATTAGTTAAGAGTAAATACGAAAGCATAAGAAACAAAATACAATAAAATCTAGCTTAAACACCATTTTTTAGCAAATATTGGTTCGTCCACCGCGACTGATGGCACAGAGGGACAAGTCCCTTGATAGCCCAATGCACCGTGGCGCGCACCTACTGTCATGATAGTAGATTGCTGTCATAGTATCTCTCTGAACTTTTGGAGTGTGCCATTTCACCATCCAACATCTGATTTGAATGATTCAAGTGTCCACACGAAACTCTTTGATCTCTCTAGCTAATGGCACCAGTCTTACACTCATACTATCACTCATTTAAAAGATGGACACCCGAATCTAAAATTGTTCATTTTCACAACAAAACACATACTATGGTGTCCAACTCACAATACACAATGCCATTAGCTCCGAAGACAACTTGACCACCTCAAATGGATCATACACCACATAACAATCCATTCATATCACAAAATTAAGCAATCACGTTCAAAATGACCACCAAACCCCCATTAGACCAAAAATACAATGGGGTGGACAAAATCTAACACATCAATTAATTGGTCATTTTGACATTCAAAACACTTAATATATATATATATATATATAAATCACTTGTAAGTAACTTGACCAAGTACACAATTAATCCATATCATCATTCTTGGACCAAGATATACACACTAATCACAATTTCATATAAGTGATATTTAAATAATGTCATGTTCCTAAATTGACAATAATTATCGATAATATTCGTTACAACACACAAAAAGAGACAAGGAAAGAGTTATACTATGATGCTCTTCACTCTTCAAATGTCCCTTCCTTTCCTGTACCTCTACCAGAGCCTTCACCTGTAAAATATAACCACGGGGTGAGATAATATCTCAATAATCAATATAGCTCATTAAATGTTTATTACCATAAATAACTATAAAAAAGTATCAAAACCATAGTATCATCTAGCATACCAAAAATTATGAGATATATGTATCTCTTCTTAACAAAACACATGATTTTATACTAGCATGGTCATCTAACCACCAAACCTCCAATACTCCCCGACATGAAACCATAGGCTCTCATAGTTCAACCACTTGTTGACCCAAGCACACTTTCAATGGTAGAAATACCCAGCCAAAGTAATCTAATCCGCCTACAGACTATGGTTTTTCTCTCTTTACACACTTGTGATAGAGGCGTCATTGACTCCTAATTGCACCCTAACGAGTACTAAGGAGTTGCTTGACTGCCCAGATGTTCCATAGTAACAGTCCCATATAATGCTGCACCAGATATCCCATGGTGTCAGCCTGACCATATGGATTTTTCACTCACAAATCTCCACACACACACATATCCATGTATCTCGGGTGAATTCTCACCCCTTATGATCATGCTCTTTCACAATTTTCACTACTTTTTATTACATTTCCACTTCACACTTATATACATAGTATATATATATTTCAATTAGAAACAATAACCATTTACAAAACACTTTTTCATGCTAAAATCATTTACAATGTCAAATTATGCACAAAACTCTTCAAAATCACAACTTTATCATTTAAAATTACTTCTAAACAGTTACAATAGTTAATAAACACAATAAACTATATGGTTACCTCAACCCTTTTGTCACATAAAAAATGTTACTGTGGCTCAACGTTAGCTCTACACGTTATATACGCATAATAAGGCTCAAGCAACGTTCAATCTACACTAATAGATGATAATCATCAATTATCACTCCGGATAACTCTGAATTCACTAGGTTCTAAGTGATTAAAATATTCAAATTCCTTTTCTAACAATATCAATCATTCCCACACACTCTAACCATCCTATTACACATTCCAACACACCAAATTCGCTAATCAATGTTCCACATTGTCTCAAAATCCTCAAATTATACTTAGGGTTCGTCCAAACCCTTATCAAAAATTCTCAATCACTATAAAACTCACAAACTTAAGGTTAGAAGCTTGATTTAACTTCTCAAGATCTTAAATAAACTAATGGGTTCAATCTAAACCCAAGAAAAATGAAATCAAAGCCCCTCATTACCCTAAATGTTCAAATTTTTGCATAAAAGAGGGAGAAGAGAGAATGTACAACTTACCCAATAATGATTCAAGCTTCAATTACCCTTAAAGTAGCCTAAAAATTGTGCCCTAGCAGACCAAAAGTTTTTCTCCATCGCTCTCTCGGTATCTCTCTTTTTCTCTTCTGTTTTCGATTTGTTTTTCGCATTTGATAAGTGCTAATTTTATCTGTGCGCCACGTTGCATTGACTCGCCCGCCGTGGCATATGGCACAAAAAGTCTAATGAAATTTTAAACTTCCTTCCGTGCCACGGCCCGCTTGAACCTCGACTTAGCCCTCTTTTAAGACTGCCTAAGGATCCAAAAATCATATTAGTCACCATAAACCTCGCTAAATAATAATTTATCTAAATTAACCAAATTATCCCTTGAAAACACTGATAATTACTAATGAAAGAACTTAAGATGTTACACAATAGTTCCTCCCCTTTTATGTTTTGTCAAAATTGGGGTTGAGTGGTGATTTTATAAAATAAGCATTTTTGGTTGAGTGTAATGTGTTACATGAGTCCGTAAGAATTCATTGAGTATGGTCGAATGGTTTGTGTAAGCTATCAGCACGTGTGGTTGAGTTGGGACACCTCATTTGAGAGATTTTGCGAAAGTGTGGTCAAAATGGATTTTGGTATCTAACTTTTTATAGAAAATGAATTTGAATATGAAACATATGCCATTAGCTAGAGCTAGGAGAAAGCTTTGTGTAGACATTGAAACCACCTCAATCGGACGTCGGATGAAGATTTGGGATGCGTCAAAAGTTCACTCCCTGTGCTGTCAAATGACAACATTGATTTGTCAAATTTCCTGCAATACACCACGGCGCATGGTATAAAGAAGACACGCTACAGCGCACGAGCCGTAAGCCAGATGCACATGTCATTTTCTATATGAAAATCTATTTTGAGTTTTAAAACTCATTATTATGGGTTCCAATTGATTTCCAAGCTTCCGCTTTGTTTTTAAAATTCTAATTTGGAGTCCTTAAATTATGTTTGGAATTTGGATTGATGAAAATTGGGATCTTTTTGAAATAATTTTGAGAAATTCCTATTTATTAAGCTTTACAATTGGATAATCCTTTGAGAGTTAAATCTTGGATTACTATAATTTAGAGTTAATTGTAGTTTAACCTCAGAGAGGTTACAAGGATGGAGGGAGTATTATTTAATTATATTACACAAACTTCATTAGAGTTTTATTAAAAGTGTATACATAAATTTCTTTATTTTTGAAAATATTACGAAGAATTTTATTCAAATTGCAATATTTCCTCTGAAACTCATAATATATTTATAAAAAGGCATCTTAAATTTTGTTAAAATTAGATATCTTTTTCTTTATTTTTGATGGAGCTGCTGTTTGCTTTCAAAATGTACATACTCTCTCTAATTTTATTTATAAGTGATAGACCTATTATTTATGTTAATTTTTGAGCATTTAGAGTTAAATATGCTAATTAATTGTGATAAATTGAAGGAAAAATGATGCATGTAACCTCACCAAGTAGTTGAAAGAATGCAAAAGGGCCCAAAAATAGGATTAAAACAGAAGATTTCATATCAAGGCTCATGAATAGTCCCAAAAACCTTCTATGAGGATGGATGAATCAATAAGTCATTTTTATCATATTTCATTAAAATTAAGAAAAACCTCAAATTTCATTAACTCTATCTTAAAATTTAATAAATTTCTACTTCTACCGTTCGAAAAAAGACCAAAGAACTATTTTTGATATTTTTTTCTAGCATTTAATAAGGGTAGAAATGTAAAAATGAACATAGGAAAATAGTAAGATATCTTATAAATGGGATCAAAATTAATCCTCCCTCTCTCTACTATGAAATAGAAATATAAAAATGAATATAAAAAATAGTAAAATACATTATAAATATTATTAAAATTAATTTTCATTCTCTGTCCTGTAAACAAGACTAAGTTTGTATAAATTTAAAGTTGCAGAAAAAGTTTGTCAACTATATATATATATATATATATAATATGTAATTTAAATCAAGCATAATCCAGCCCCAAAAAAAAAAATTTCAATCAAACATAAGACGTGTACGTGTATAATTTACTCTAGTAGTTTTTAACCAGAAAATGTACTTTAGTAGTTAAGTTATTATACTGACAATTAATTCAAAGAAAGGTCGTTGAACTTAACTAAAGATGGGGGAAACAGAATTTAGAGCTAAAGCATACAATTTATGAAATGGCACAATTTTAACAAGTAATCAGGTAGCCCGTTGAATTGAAGGATTAAAAGTTAGTATTCTCATCCCAAAAAAAAAAGGGGAAAGAAATATAATAATTAAGATCACTCATGATGAAACCCCAAAATTATTGTCAAAATTTCTTAAATAACAAACATTTTGTTTTTGATCAAAAAAATTAACTTGTGATCAATCAGTTGTCAGATAAGCTTATAATATCCTCTTGTACGAAAGATTAGAATTGAAAGCGATCGTAATCAATAAGATAAATCACAAGAATAAATGGAATCTCAGCTTTAAAGAATGAATGAAGACTGACCTACAGCTTTGAGAGTCCCAGCCAGCCAAACTTGCAGTTTCAAAAAGGACATGTTTCCATTTTTGGACCTTCTCAGGTTTGCGCTGCAAATCTCTCTCCTGTTTTGCAAATGCGTCCTGGTAAGTTCCCTTCTGATTGGGTACATGAGATGGGTCCACTTCATAGAAAATAGGAATAACAAGCTGTCCTTGGATCTCACTGAACTCAAGGATCTTGGTGAGTTCATTCAAACACCATTTTGAGGAACCATAGCTTTTAGAGAAGATGACCACAGATATAGTTGAATCCTCAATGGCCTGGATGAGTGATTGGGAGATATCGTCGCCTTTCGGGAGCTCATATTCTATGTAAGTTTCGATACCTCTGAGGCATAGAGCAGTGTGAAGATGGCTGGTGAAGCTTCTGCGAGTGTCCTCGCCTCTGAAACTAAGAAACACATCGTATTTCTTTTGAGAAGATGGACAAGAAAAGGAGCTTGAGTAGGTTGAAGAAGCAGCGCCCATGTGATCAATGGAACGAAGTTGAATGACTTACAGGTCTTCTCGTCCAAAGTATATAATAAATGGATCATGTCCAAGAGGCCAGGTCAAAAGTTGAAGGAATTTTTTTTAGAGGGGAAAAAAAAAAGCTCCAAAACTGTTGGATAAATTGGAAATGGATAGATATGTTTTAATTAAATGACCAGAATTACATATTTTATGCGCACCATAACATCTGGAAGCACGGAGTCCATGGATAATATAAATTTATTACACAGAACACCATATATCAGCCCTTTTTTTTTTTTGGGGGTTAACTAACAACACAAGCGATTGGAATTATGTAGCTAATTTGATTCGATCTTGCGTCCAATCTAATTGGTTCATATATTAGTTTCTTTTATGTAATTTTTCAAAGACATCTGTTTAACAAAAAAAATGCATCTTAATATAAACGCCCTTTGGTTTTAGCATGTTTAATTCACAAAAATTAAAAAAAAAACTTTAAATCTCATTAGTTCTATATAAAAATTTAACAAGTTTGTAACTCTATCTTTACCGTATGCTCCCTCAAGTTCATGCTATAAAAGGATTATTAGTTTCATATGACGTTTAACAACTTTTGTAATAACTAGGTCATTTTTCCCCTTATTAATGGGGGAAGATTTTTGCTCCTCTAAAAAATAATTTAAGGAGAAAATGTTTTTACTTATTAATATAAAGTATTTAGCACTTCTCAAAAGAAAGTACGGAAACAAAAATATACTTTAACTCAATAATATAATGATAGATCATCTATTAACCATCATCTCTTTTAATTTCCTTTTTCCTAAAATACAATTGAAAAATTAGGACTTGTTTATCTATGTTTTCAAAAACTATTTTTCATTTTTAAAGATAAAAAATTTATTTGGATAAACATTTTGAATTTAATTATTTTTAAAAATTATTCTTTTTTTGTTTAGAAAAACAAAAATGGAAACATTTTAAAATTTTTTTCATTTATTTTTTATTTTCAAAATACACTACATTTTATTATTAAAAAATATAATTATCTTGACCAATTTTTATCATCATTCATTACCATTAACCGCCAGCGATTATCATTATCAACTTATTTTCTAGTTCTAAAAATGTTTTTAAATTATCATAGTCAAACAGATTTTCATTTTGTTTTATTTTGAAAAATAATTCTAAAAACCATATTACAAAACAGTTTTTAAAAATAAAAAATGGGAACATAAACCAAACAGGCCTTTAATTGTTTTATTTTAATAATTTCACTGACTTTATAACTAAGTCTAGTTTTAGTGGCTGGGAGGCAATTACAAGATTTACTAGTAACTCCATCCATCATCACCACAGTTGAAGAACCGCTTCAGGCTTCAATAAACCATGAGGCATGGCGAAAGATGGACTCAACAGCGGTAACTATGCTGAGATGTGGCATCTTTATTAGCTCCACACCAGTTCGAAGAATCTGTGAGGTTTAAAAGAACATACAGAAGCGGAAGAAATCGACTTTCGATGGAGAGAATTGGGCCGGAAATCATTCTTGCAAGCATGCAATATAAGGGCGATACGTGTTCTTAATGGTTAGTTGTTCTGGTGACAGTGCTACTGAAACCTCAACAAGATGACTCAGTTTCGAACCTATATATACTACTATTTGGGATGAGAAATTAACCTGGCAAATCTGGACAAATCTTATTTAAAGGTGTGTTTGGTTAAAAGGTTTGAAGAGAAAGATGCCCTCTCCCTCATTTGGTTAAAAAATTTTGAAAAAGATGAGAGCTAAAATAACCTCTCTCCTCCCCTCGTATTGCTCCCCTTCAAATTGGGATATTTTGAAGAGGAGCTAATTTTTTTAACTATTTTGCTCTTATCTAGTTTTTTTTAATATTTTAAATATACCCATAGTTAAAAAAAATTCTTCTTCATATTATATTGTACTTTACTCTCAAACTTTGATTGATCTCATTGAATTTTTTTAAAAAAATCAAATAATTTAAATTGAGATAAAAATTAGTTTTTACGAGGAATAATTAAAATTTTTTAAACTAATATATAGAGATATAATAGTAAATTAGTTATCATTTTCCTCCCCTCCTAAACCAAACAAAGAATAAAGAAGGTGCATGTTGAATGATTCTTCAAGCCAGCATTGCTAAAAGCAAAATCTTTGTTTCAAAGGAGATTAGTTAATTAACATAACCATATGCATTAGCTATCAGTGGTTGAGCCACATATAATTGATACAATAACAACAATAACAAATTTTATCCCATTAGGTGAAGTCGGCTACATATAATTGATACACTTAGGAAAAATGACATGTTTGGGGTTTGGGATTTTTATATTTTATAATTTGCACCCTTTATTTATTATACTTTGCATCCCTTACTTTCATATTTTAAACTTTAAACCTATTTCAATCTTACTTTTTTAGCTCAGATTATTCAATTTTTTAACTCAAAGCTATATGAATATTAGTCCACAATTTCACTATACCTAAACACCACTATTTTATTAATCCTTTAAAAATAAAAAAATTAATTTGACTAAACTAAACTTGCATCATCCTCGTCTTGAATATTATTCAGGGATTAGTTAGAAAAAAAAAAGAAAATGATGAATGAAGATTCAAGAGTAAACTAGTTGAATGTCTTTCACTAATTTCCTGTACTAACAAATCTATAATTAAAAGTTGAAGAGAGAAACAAGAAAAAAAAAAGAAGGAAAGAAAAATAGTGTATTTAAAAGAGAAACAATATTTTTTCTTTTACCAAGAATTGTAGCTTTGTCATTGCCCTCGACCTAGAATCCTGACACCATCACTATACACTATATGACCCATGAGTGAGGGTTTGTTTGTTAATAGATTCCATAGATGTTGGACTTGGCTTGGATGATTTCGTGTAGCGTTTAGGTAATCGGTGCTTGTGATTTTTTTTACCCTTCTCGAATTGTTTAGAAGAGCACGCCCATATAAAGGTTGCTGACTTGGTGATCCCCCGTATAAGTCATGTGCTAGTAGGATTTTTTTTCCCCCTTTCTTTTTTTTTTAAAGCGACGATGCATTCAGCATCTGTATGTATATGAATGTGCTCACTTTTACCGAATATGAAGAAGTTAAGCTTTGAGTTTTTTTCCCCTAAGTAGTGTTTGATTTAGAAAAAGATGGGAAAATATCATCTAAGAATCACTAGAGAGTTTTTTATATCAATTTTTTTAAAAAAAATGAAATTTCACTACCAAATATTTATCGAGAACTAAGATTTTGTGAAAATAAAGACCTAATTACTTTTAAAATTTTCTAAATGCATAAATAAATATTCAATTGAATTTTGACAACTAACCATATGCAATTAATAACTACCCATTAAATTATTTAACTTTAGGGTTAATTAGGTTTTTTTCTCATAAAATTTTATTTTTCATATGAGTACCTAGGAATACATGGAAATTTCATATTTTAAAGTCCTTTTCTTATATTAAAACTCTTCATGAATCCTTAGATGATATTTCCCTAAAACATTAAAAATAGATTGAGAGAACAAACAAAAATAGAGGTGTCGTGTAGGGTGCAAAGAAGGGCAAATTAAAAGAAGATATTATATATATATATATATATATATATATGCGCAAGGTGACTTTGTAGAGGAATAAGGGATTGTAAGATTATAGAAAGGAAAAATAACAATTAAGGATTATTGGAGTAAATTTATATTAATTAAGAATTACTTTTTATTAAAATCAAAATAGATACTTATTAATTTATGTTAGTCTTTTATCAATAAATGTTAATTCAAATATTAACAACTCCTCATTTTAAATTAACAACAATTTATTGAAGTTTTTTTATTTAAATTTGACAATAATTGATCTTTGTTTGATATAAATTTGCTCCTGTAATTCTTGATTGCTATTTTCTCATAGAAAGGTGTGTCCGGAGAGTCCAGGAACTAATCGTCTCTTAATTCATTGAGCGACCACCGAGTTTCCTCAAAGGATCACCATAATTGGTTTAGATGGATGCTTTCTCATCAAAGGACCTTTTAATCGTATGGCGCTTGGAGCTGTAAGTATATGTGATCGATTGAATGAACAATATTTTCTTTTAGCAGTAGTTTAATATATATATATATATATATATATAGTTGAGGGTGAAATCTATATTCATGTTTATGAATTTTAGAAAGCTTGTTAACAACATAAACGAAACAGACTTGGGTCGATTGATCTTCTTCTTCTTTATTTATTATAAGGATTAATGTTGATATTGACGAACTTCTTCCGGTGGAGTTTGAGCACTCTCTTAACGAGATTTTTTTTTTTCTTTTTTAATAACTAAGTCACCTAACAGGATTGGAAACACGCGCACAGCTACTTTGATTTGGTCTCGCACAACCTAATTTTAAATGGGCTTATAGTGGTAGTTTATTTTACGTTGTTTCTTTTCTTTAAAAGATCTTATCATTGGGAGATCACCTGTTAACCATCATCACTTTTCTTTCATTAATTATTTCCTATTGCTTTTGATTTGAAACATGTCCAAAGATAAGAGAGAGACACACACACAAGAAATAATTATTTATATAGCCATTGGATGTAATTAAGATGCTGCGAAAGTCCAT